CTGGGGCTATTCCCTGCCCACGCTCACCACTCAAGCTGCCCTGGGGGAGAGAGCACAGGTGAAGACTCGTCTTTTGCATATGTACCATCATCTGCAAGGTGATTCAATCCCTCGTTGTGCCCCTTTAAGATTCCAGAACAGCAGCTGCATAAATGCTATTAAAATTGCAATCCTACATACATGAACTTAGATTTAGCCCCCGGGAGGTGAGTGAATGGGCCCCGTGGAAGGGATACGCCCCCAAGAGCTCACTGGCGCCAAAGGCTTATGCAACATGGCATGGGTTGAGAGGAGCACAACAGCATCCTTTTGACCACACAAAAGCAAATCCATTTTGAGTCCTTATCTCAGAAGGACTAGCACTCTGGAGCACCTTGGGAAGCAAAACACTTTTTTTTCTTAGAGGAAAGGCCAGATTAAACAGTTAGGTGCCTGTTTTAATGCAGAGACCAAACTTTGTTCTGTGCTCAGGTTGCCCAGGTGAGCAATTCCTGTCCTCCACAAATATGCACAAATCCATTGTATATATTCTACACATTTTCTTTCTTTTTAACGTTTGCATAAGAGTGACTGGGATCAGTAACCACATTACATTCTTCTGATGTCTGTATTTGGTATAGTCTCATAAAGACTCTCAATCTTGTCACTGAAAATATTAATTTATTTTTCAAAACACAGAAGGGGCATCATCATTGTTCTTAAATGACATCAATTCTCAAGAAAGTACTTTTGGTTTCATTTTTGCTCTCCTTTCTTTCCCCTGGCCCAAACCCCTAGAAAGGAGTCCAAATTATCCCTACAAGTACTTACTGAAAATGAATCTTCTAGTTCCTTCTGGAGTTAATATACTACTTCTCCCTGGGTGTTGTCAGACACATTGGTTTGTTTTCTATATTGATTCTCTGCCAGACATTTTAATCTGGGGATTAGGTCCTTGACAGTGCAATCCTATACATACTTACCTAGGAGTAAGTCCCATTGAACTCAATGTTCAATGTATAGGATTGCATTCTTGCATCCCCAGGTCATGCATTTTAAAACATCATTCAGATCAATTAGGAAGTCATTTGGGCTGATTACGTGTGCTGTTACAGGTTACAACATGGTTGGAGAAAAGCCCTGCTCCAAGGTGGAAATAAAGCTCATCCAACAATGGGAGATGCATTATTGTCTTGGCTGTGCATCCTATTCATGAACTGGCCCCTGTTCACTGGTGCAGCAGCATGCACAGAGCCTTCCGGTAGTCTCCAGATCAGGACAAAACCATCTCTTCTCCTTCTTTTTGGTATGCCTAAGCGCTGAGGTTTCCATAAAGGTAAAGTGATACTATACCAAAAGTGGCAAGAGTTTCTGCCCCATTAAGAGCTCTAAAGAAAGTTCAGCAAGCAGCATTACATCCCCCATACAGAGCTGCACAGCACCTGTGATGGCAGAAGCAGCCCGAATTGTTCAGGACTTACAAAAGGGGGGAGGTTGGGGGGTTGGGGACCCAATTCTCATAGCCTGTGGTCCTCAGATTATGGTCTGGGAGACATCTGCACAAGTTTTCCAACCCATTTGTTTTCTCCATACCCCAACACACATGAGTATCTTTTGAAAGCTAGGTTATGGTACCTGTCATGCAGTCTAAGGGCTTGTGCATACAAGGTATTTTTTTAAATCCTCCAGTGATTTGCAAAACACAACTACTGCAGGTTAGCAGAGGCAACTCTGGGAAGGGGCAATGAAGGGCAAAGGGGGCTCTGCCACAGTGGCAACTGGGTGACGGTTACCCTTCCCCACTGCCTCCTACCCCAGAGGGCCTCCACGCAAGATAGGCCTCATGCATGCATCCTCCCTGCTGCCCCACCCAGGGCTACTTCTGGGCATCTACCACCAGGCCGCTACATGCCTATCCTAGGTGAGCAGCTAGTGGTCATTTATTCGGGGTGAATGTGGGGCGCTGCAACTTTCCATCAGCAGAATGTGGAGGATGCTGGCCATTCTCCCCTGCCCCTAGAGGGCCAAATGCAGCAAAGCACACACCTCCAGCTGCAGTCCACCAGTCACTTGCCCCGTACAGAAGGTGTTAAGTCGTTCAACAGCAGCCTTTCCCAACTTGATGGCATCCAACTGTGCTGGGCTACAACTCCCATCATCCCCAGAAACGGCTAGCAAGGCTAGTGAGAGCTGTAGTCCGACCTTTCTGGGGAATAAGTTAAGGAAGGCTGAGCTCAAGTAGCTAGGCAAGGCCATCCAGAGTACATTATAAAGTTGCATTTATTTCAGCAGAACTTGTGGATGCTTAACGTACCACTGGGGCAGCCTTCCTTACCCTGGTTCCTCCACATATGCTGGATGACACTTCCCATCCTCACCTGCTCGTGTGGCCAATGCTGCACCGGAAAGTGCCTGGCTGGGGTGTCAATGGCTGGCAGGTAGATAAACCCTGAGAACACAGGTTCATAGAACAAAGGAGCTGGAGCCCTCTGCTCAGTGCAGGACTCCAGGTTAAAGCAACCCCGACAGAGGGCTGTCCAGCTGCATCTCGGATGCCTCCAGTGCAGAAGAGCCCACGACCTCTCTAGGTAATTGGTTCCATTGTCATATTGCTCTAACGGTCCTGATGTTAATAGAGGTAACTTTGGGGTGTCTACTGGTGTTACAGACATAGAGGTGGGTGTGGGGACATACAGATAGATGTGTTAAAATTTTTCACTGTGGCTTGGAACCACAAAATGTGGTTTCACATCCATAAAATAAACAGAGGAGTCCTAGAGTAAAAAATGCTTCCTAAAAAATAAGGCAAAAACAGCCTTAGCCATCAAGTTAAACAAACATACAAACAAACATTCAAAACTCTTCCATGGTCATACCTCTGTTTCATGACTAAAATGTAGTTTGTGTCCTTGGACTGTTGAAAGAGTTCAGATGAGGGGAAAAGGCCAGGTATGTGGCGTCTCCTACCAAAATGCCAAATAAACCAAAAGTACCTGTCAAACGAATTGAGCTGTATCAAGAGAAGCTTCCATTACTTAAAAAAAAACACCTCTTCTGGATTCAACTCATGTTTGAAAACAAATTGAATTTGTAATCATTTGTATCTGGTGACTTGATAGTTCATGAGTTGTATAGTTTTCTAGCACATGTCTGCCACAGTGTCAGCCTTTCTTCAACAGTGCTTAGTAATTCATTCTCCCAGGGCAGCTAGTGAAGGGTTTGCATCTTTGGTGGATGAAAACCTTAGCATGTTCCCCCATAGTTTAATTTTCCAATCATTTCAATACCTTCTCTGGTTTAACAATTGGAAACACTTGAGTGCAGGGGGTGGGGAGGTGAAAAAGGGAGCGAGTAGGGGAGAGAGAGAGAAAGAAAGAGATTATTTCCTTAATAAGGCTTTTCAAGAAAACTGGCTCAATTCAGAGATCACACTAAACTATAACTAACAGTGTAGCTCCACATGTCTACTCAGAAGTCAGTCTCATTGAGTTCAACAGGACTTATTCCCAGGTAAGTGACTAAAGAACTGCAGTCTAAGAAAGCTTAACAATGGTTTGGCACAATACATCTGCACTGACAAACACTGTGTTACAATTTGCCAATTATTCAAACTCAGAAACCCTGCTTTGAAGTGGTTCTGTAAACCATGGTTTGAAGTAATGTCTGAACTGACAAACCATAGTTGCAGCCATTTCTCTACCTCTGGAGTGCCTGACAATGTAGAAGCAGGACAACCAGCTAAACCATTGTTTGCCTATGTGTCTGGAATGTCAAACCATAGTTTTGGTTCCACATTATGGATACTTCAATTCGTGGTTTGATAGAAAGTCTGAATTGAGCCACAATACGATTTCTAGCAGAGAATGCTGAAATGCAGGTTTATTGTTTCGCTGGCCCACTTCTATTTGTTTTTAGGACTACTGGGATTGTGTGATCAGTATGAGGACCTGCTTTTTCACAATTCTGAAGAAAGGAAGAAACAACACCCCATTAATATGCAGAAAGAATCCTATGCTAAATAATAATACTAATGTTCTTAAAGTGACAGGAAGCCTGTCAAGAACGTGTGGGTGTCAAGGACGTGACACTGGGATAAAAGGCTGGGATGGATTCTTCCTCTAGGGCAGGGATATTTAGCTGAGGGGCGTGTGAGTCCAGGTACAGCTGTCAGCCTCCTTGACCAACCCTGTGTGTGTTTAACTAGGGGTCACAGAAACACACGGAACAGGCCGGAGTGCAGGGCCCTTGGCAGCAATTCTTCATTCTGGAAATTGTCCCACAGTGGAGCGCATCCCATGACTGGAGATGAAGCAGCTGCACTGGTAACTCCACAGCCTTGCCTGCCAAACCGTGTGAAGACCTTGGATGGAACCAGGGCAAACCACTTGGGCCGATTCTGCTTCAGCAGCAATGCCAGCCGAAGTGTCTTGTGGCCTGGTACAGCACAGATGGGGCAGCCCGGGTCAAAATGCAGAATTTGCATGGGGAAGGTTGCTCCTTTTTCTGCCCTTGATTTGGTGAAGGCACAACAAACTGCATGTGTGAACACTCCTGTCCCCCGGACAACGTCACACACACAACATAGTCTGTTTCAGGGAATGGACTCTGACTGGTTGTTTTCCCCCCTTCCACTGGCTGGTCCAAGTTTTCCTCCCTCAAATATATTTGTGTGTGTGTTTCGTGTGTGAACGTACATGTACACACACACATATCCACACACACACAGAGCATGCCTGAGGAGCCAATCCACACTGCCTTTGGCTCATGAGACATTAAGTCACCCGTCTACGAGAAAGTTACTAATACCCGCCTACGGTAAACTGATTCCCAGCCACTCTTAGGGTTCTGTTTCAGCTTATCACTCTTTCTGCTTGGCTTTGTTTCATCCGTTGTCAATGTCGTCCGTTCGTCCATCTCTCTCTCTGTCTCTCTCTCTCTCTCTCACATTCTCTCTCTCGCATTCTCTCTCTCGCTCTCGCTCTTTCATTTTTTCTCTCACACACTCGGGGTAAAGCAATTTCCTATTTCCTCCGTGCTTGCGCCTGGCTGTTCTGTCCCTTCTGATGCTGCTGTTTCACCTGAGCGAGGATGTCGCGTATTTTGCGTTGTGCCATCTGGCAAGAAAGAGATAAATGCAGAGGGAAAGAATTAGGGCAAAAGGGTTGTTCTGTATAATAAAGGAACATCCTTCCCCGAAGTCACACTGCCTGTTCTGAGCTCTCCTTGGCAGTACATGAGCAGATAAATAATATTTGCATTTCGGTTCAAAAGCACTAACTTGAGTACCATAAATATGAGCCATAAGAAACGGTGACCATTAATACGAGTAGATGTAATACCTTCCTAGCCATCTGTAGTACAGGCAACTAACTACATTAGCAAAAACAGTTCCAATTTGGGAATCTGTTCAAGCAGGAATGATTTGTCCCCCCACCCTCTCCAGTGTTTATCCCTGCAACTCTCTCACCATAGCAGGATTGCTAGGCCCAGGCTAAGAAAGCCTATCCTGATCCTATTCCTCAGAGATGCAGATGTCCATTGGTGAAAAGCAAGACATGTTAGCTTAATTGGCATGCAGGGGGTAACATTTTCAAGGGGGGCTGCAGGTGGGGAGCAAAAGGCTTATCTGTCTCCCCACATGCTGCACTGGCCTCCAATCCAAACACCCACCTGCATGGCAATTTAGCTTAGAACGAATATTTCCACTGGTACCAAAAGGAGGCTTTATCTGGCATTAGCTGCTCTTCCTTCCCTGTGCAATGTGTCTTCTCATCCCATCTCTAGATGATGATTAAGCTCAGGGGGAAAACAAAACAACAAAACTCTTACACTGACACCAATGGAAAGATTGGGCCGCAGCCTTCTAGGCCGTGTGCAATGCCACCAGCTTAGCATTGGCTGGGCTGGTTTTGGTCGATAGGAGACATGGGCCAAAACATTTGTAGGGTCACAAGTTGCCCAACCTGGTGATGTTAGAGGGAAAAGGGCTTCCTCACTTCCTTGCCTTATTAGGAAGATGTGACACCTTTTTTTTTGGTCTGTTCAAATCAATGGGGAAAGGCACAAAGCAAGCAAGTTACTGGAGTAAGTAAAGATCAGAAAATATGGTTCGATCATGGCTTGTGACAATAAACTATTGATTCAACTAACCGATTTGCATTGTTACACTTGTGACAATAAGCTGTGGTCTAAACCTGGAAGCAAATGCTACCAATTGCCTTCACTGCATACCCGAGGGAGGGGAGCACCTCATTTAAGGCCGAAGCAGGCCTGTTCACATGGCGTTAAATCACAGGTAGGCATCCTTTTGGGGCCCAACTGGCAACCTGAGAAACCGTCCTGAGTATCACCACAACGTGGCTGCCATGGGAGGCATGGCAAAGGACAAGTCACCTGCCACACAAGTAGGACATGAGTCCTAACACACCAAACAACTCCAGTTTTCACACCGACAAACACTGATTACAACTGTCAGAAAGGAATTGTTGTCTTTATTTCTTTAACGGGGCAGGGCATCTGAGATCAGGCATGAGGTGGCCTCTCCCCGAACCAAACCACAGTTTCATGTTATATCCAGACCAGACCATGGCCTGATTTGGATACAAGCATGATTGTTAAAAACCTGTGTCCCCTCTCTCCACTTCCACAAGAGCCAACACAGCAAACAGGAGCGATCTTTCTGGACCTTTACCTGGCTGGCATAGAAATGTCCAATAATTTTGACAATGACTTGCTCATTCTCGTCAGGGGTCTGGTCTCGTGGCACAACTACTTCAGCTGCCGTCAGGTTCTGTAGCTCATTGACCTGTGAGCAGAAAAACAGCAACCTGTCCACACGTGTAACTTTTCCAATAGGCTGGGAGACACAACTGACCAGCATGTTCTTCTGCACACACCTCACAACCTTCTTTCAATGTGTGCTTCCAGTTCGATTGCACTCCAAGTATTCCTGTTTTGCTGATTCTGTCTTTTGCAACCTAAATTCTGCTGTGCCCTCTCAAGTAGAATTCTTACTCCTGTCTGTTGTAAGTAAGGGATGGTTCAGTCGTAACTGTTTGTGCTGCCTAATGAAAATTTCAAAGCATGAGTTCTGTGCAAACTATACAGACAGACTGTGTCTTGTGAAAGCTCCTTCTTCCCCTACTTCCCCAAGAAACTCTAAATGCAGTGTCCCCAAACTGTAGCCTGCGAGGGCAAAGCAGCGTCTCATAACATGGGCTTGTCAGTTCAATGTAACACTACACCAGAATTTGCCCAAGCTGCAAACACTATACTGCACTTGTCCAGACAGCGTCAGTTCCATCAGATACTGGTATGCATGTATTTATCGACACCATGAGAAACCATGGTTTGGCTTACACAAATTACAGTGCATCTCACACTTGAATATCCTCTGAACACTGTACAGATGTAAGGACAAAATGTGCCCCATTTTAAACTTAGAAAAAAAATATTGCTACTTCAGTAATCAGCAGGTTGGGAAATGTGCACCTACCATACTGTGGATAAAATCTGCAAACCTGTGCATAAAATTCAGCTCTCCTGAGGTTCCAGCCAGTCTTCCAGGGTTTCACAATGCCAGGGCACCTCTTCTGACCTCTTTCCCCCAAGTGTTGATAATTGTGAGGTTTCCCAGCTTTTGAGATTTTTCCCCCATTCTAGAGGGTTGAAATGTCTTTCCTAAGACTGGTGCTAAAGACTTTAAGGTAATATCTATTTGGGAGTCTGCCCCTTTGGACCCACCCACCACTAAAATATACCCCCCAAGAGTTTCTCAGAAACTGGGTTTGGCCCTTGCGCTGAAAAAGGGCCTGCTTTAGTAATAATAATCCAACCCCAAACCTTCAATAAGTACTGCAAAGACCACATCATTTGATGCCCCGTCTTGGATCATGGCAGCTTCAGCTGCCCCTGGTGGTGTTTCCAAAGCGGCTCTGCGTGGTCCAGCTTTGCACTCACTGTTTTGCCTCCTTTGCCAATGACTCTCCCTGCGGCCGAGGCCGGGACTCGGATGTGTGTCTCTAGCTTCACTTCTTCTTTGGGCCCAAAGAAGTTCTCCTCTTTAAGCTTTCCATAAATTCGCCCTTGAGCCTGAAAAATGGGGAGAAAATACATAAGCTGTGGAACTATGAAACAACAAGATACCTTGTTTACAAAATTAGCACATTTCCTAGCCATGTTGAATCTCAAAAGTTAAGGATCAGTTATAATTTCAAACCAGGAATGCCCTTGAAGATGGCTTGTCCTTCCCTCTCATCTCCCTCATATTTGAATTTAGACTACAAGCTTCTCAGGGCAAAGACTAATCTTTTTTTGCTTGTTCAGGTTACGCTGTAATATAATAATGATAATGATGATGCGTAAATAATAATCTCAGCATTAATAAGAAACAGCAAAATATAACCACAATTAAAATATGTGCTCCTATTTGATATGCATAAAGGTGCAGCCAACCTAAATAAAGACCAAACATATTTGGAGCCAAATATATAGGTTAAACCTGCAATGAACTAATGAATATGAACTATTTCTGTTCCTGATTGTAGCCAGCCGTACTATTTTTCAGAAAATTCCATCCCATCTCCTGTCTGGTTTTCCAATTCTGCTCCCTGATGGACAGTCAGCATTTAGTGTTCTTCACAAAGTATTTTCACTGTTTTAGTCCCCACCCCATTTATTTTACATATTTACAATATCTGTACATCTCTCCATATCTAGGTAGATTCCAGAGCAGTGAGTCATTTAAAAGTGCTCTCTCTTACCTATCTACCTACCTATCTACCTAATGTACAAATTGTTGCTGGTCAGCAAGAAAGACTTCTTGGAACAAAAGCAACGTTAATGTTGGTGCCTGTCTGACCGTCAGAGACAAGACATTCTATAGAAATGGGGCCACCACAATGAAGATCCTTCAGCTGGTAGACTGTAGTCAGGCCATGGATCTGTGAAATCACCAGGAGAATGTCCTCTAATGATCTCTGTGAGAAAGTGCTCTCTCAGGTATCCAAGTCCGAGTTTGTGAAGTCCAGGCCCATTCTGGGTGGAAGGAGTATACTTTTATGTACAAAGCATAGATGCTTACCAAGCATGTACATACTTACTAAACATGGACACAGCCAGAGAACTTTCAATGGCAAGGGAGAAAGGAAATGTAAAGTTCTTCAAGTTTTGCAGGCCAGGATTTCATTGCCTTCACCTGTATGCACCTCCCACTTGGTTTTGATTGCAGGAGAGACTCACCCTCCCTCTTTTATCCAGGTGAGGCGCAGTGGGGCAAGGTCTTCTGTGTGGCTGCACCCATGCTTTGTAACATGGGACCTATACTTCAGAAAGATCACCCATGACGCTGATTGATGTGTGCCCTGGAAACTGGTTTGGATTTACGGGTGAAGGTTGAAGCAACAAAAAGCGATGAAGGGAGAAGCTGCATGCTCTGCCTTAAAGACAAATGCTTCGAATGCAGGATAAAGGTACTTGGAACTCTCCCCCTTACTTGGAATGAAAGTTGAACTTGAAGTTAGTTGAACTGCACTTTGCCTTAATGCAGCTTTTCCCAAACTGGCTCCCCAGAAGTGCAGCACTATAACTTCCATCACCCCTCAGCCAGCACAGACTTTGATGTCCCTCCGAGTTATACTAAATCATGAGTTATTTTTTTTTAGAAATGGATACAGTTAATTCTGTCACCATGTACAAGCCCCCTGATTATTACGTTCCTGTAGACAAACAAACAAAACATGCATGCCAAAATGGGAGGAAAGAAACCTTAAATTGGGCTTCTGGTGGTCCAGTGATTATCACCATACGCACTTTGGAATCTGGCGTCTCTGGAGGAGCAATCTGGAGGAATCGAGAAAGAATGTAAAATAAACAATTACATCAACAATCTGGACAGGCAGCAAAACCTGCGCGAGGGGTTCCTTCGGCATTCCAACCTTTCCTCCCAAGTGACTTGCCTAAGGCCATACAACAAGTTGTACCAATAGCTGAATTCAAGTCAGAGGGCTTTATGCACAGGGGACATTCCCCACTGAACTGATGGGAAGAACTTCCTTGTGAACCCTTTGAACTTCACAGCACACCGGTTGTCTTGCCTGCAGAAGCTGGTGCAATGAAAAGGACACCGTCTTACCTACGGGATTTCTGACTTCAGCATCAGCTGTCTTACACTAAGCTCTGCACTCACCCGTGAAGGAAAGGAGTCAAAGCAGAAAAGCAACAGAAAAGAGTGGGCACCTTGATGGAGGCACTTGCGAATCTGGAGAGCTGTTTGATATGCTGCCCCTTCTTGCCAATGATGGCACCCACAGCCTGGGCAGGGATGAAGACATGCACCGTCTCTTGCTCAGGAGGCTGCCAAGATAAAGTTTTTGGGGTCAACAATCAGTTGCTGGTCATACTGGGCACCCCAATTTAGTATATCCTTAGGCTAACACGTGCCTTCTTGCCATGCCCACTCTCTATTGGCTGAGTTGAGATGATGTCACAGAATTCTTGTTGCAGGTTTTGTGCGAAACAGCATACAATGTTGGCTGGAACTCACTCAGGTTTAGGAAAGGGAGGGGTGGATGCTCAAGGCACAAAAGCGGAAGTGCTAGAGAAGCAAGAGGGTGGTTGGGAAGATGAATGGGATGAGAACTCAGAGGCAGAGATCTCAAGAGGACAAAATGGGAGGCGAGGGGCCAAGGTGCATGAGTCTGCAGGCAATCTGGACTTTCCCTCCTTTAGTATCTTCTTTTGTATATCAAATACAGCAGGACCTTGAAGCAAGCAGAAGTCTCACTGCTTTAGAAACAAACTGTACTTTGTCTGAAAGGGGCAACACTTGGCTGAGGAAAACTCTTTCATAGGATCCAAGGACAGGAACTGCTGAAGGAGGGTTAGAGTTCATGGAAGAGTTGGGTGATATTCCAGAGAGGCCAATCTTCGGCCTTACCCAGTGTGGGTACAAATTCACCAGTTTGCAGCTGATGTCATTCAAGAGGCAGTGGATAATTGGGAGTGGAGAGGGTGGATTAGCAACAGAATGCCATGTTCAGAAATAAGTTTTACTGGGTTCAGTGGGGCTTATTCCCTTGTAAATCTATTTCCTTATAAGTCCCTTTCATGAACTTTCTTTCAATGGCTATGATCAGGGAATGAAACTATCACTCTTTCTGGTTACCTTAACACATCTGTGACCCTCCAGATGACTTGTCCTACTACTCCAATTATGTGACTTGTAGACAGAGTTGTAGAGTTGTAAACCATCCAGAATGCCACGTGTTGCCCACAGTTGCCCTAACATATAGATTTTTAACACAATTATAAAACTAAGAATTGCATCACAAAACTTGGAGAAATATGCCATTTGAAGGATAGCTGTGTTCCCACTGGCATATTAGCTGGGAACTGTGCATTAAGCTGGTTTGCTTAAAAATAAAATCAAGTAAAATTCTGCTGGGCTGGGCTATCTCTTCACTCCTCCTAGATAAGGCTTTTATTTTATGTGTTCATTCTATTCACATGGAGGTGGGTAGAGACCTGTTTCCCCTGCAGAGGAAGGCAGGACGCGCTCCAACGGAGCCAAGCTCAGGGAGCCAAGGTTCCATTTGGATGCCAGGAAGCACTTCCTGACAGTTAGGACCCCGAGGGTGTGGAATGGGCTTCCATGGGAGGTGGTTCAGGCCCCATCGGTGAGGGTGTTCAAGGATAGGCTGGACGTCCACATGGTGGGCATGTCGTGAGCGGAGCCAGCTGGAGCCAGGGGTCAGACTAGATGGCTCGGGAGACCCCTTCTGACTTGCTCTATGTTCCTATGTTTCTATATTCATTATGGTTCTGGTTTTTGAATCCTTGTTCTGAACTGGTAAACTGATGTCTTTTCTTTTTGGGGGTTCCAGCTTAGTTTCAACAGCGATTTTCAGGTAACGTGGAAGTTCAGGAAAAAATAAAAGTCCACTCTGGTTCAGGATTCAGGTGCCATTTGAAACCTGCCTATGATCACTCCATCAGAAAAAATCCTTCTTTTGCAGAATGGCTTGAGAAATGCGGGATAGTTAAAACCCCCAAACAAAGCAGAAATCGGAACTGGCCTCCCACTAGTCAGGGCCATCCAGCCCCCATATAGTACTCTGCTACTTAGTATACTGCCCTCCCTTTCATTCCTATGTTTAGAATTGTATTCTGCCCCATCCCAAAATACAAAGGTCAGGACATTACACTTGTACTCTAGCCCACCGCATGTCCTCCAGATGAGCTAGACTTCAACTCCTAGCATCTCCAGAAGTCCCTGCTGGCTGAAGATGATGGGAGTTGTAACCCAGCACCCCTGCAGGGCAGTGGGTTGGGAAAGTCTCTCGTATTGGCTTAACTCTGGCAATTCTGTGCATGTGCACACACACGCGTGGAAAATTTCCAGTTCAAGCCTGACCTCTAGGGAGCTACCACCAGAAGCCAAATAAATACGACAGCAGTTGCCATGCATCCTTCCCTGCATGCTCCCGGAGCTCAGATGCCATGGGCAACCGGTAAGCCAGGACATGGCCTGGAGAATAGGGGAGGGAGCAGCCTGTTCGCAAGGGGCAGGGAGTCTGAGGACATTCAGACCTCAGACTGTAAACCCTGCCTAATTTGGCCCCGGCCTTGCCTAATTTTGTCTCTTTTTGGAAAGCTGAAGAGGAGGCTAGTTCATGGAGGGTAATCCCAGCTATTTGGACCACCATAAGACAGACCTCAGTAGGAAAAATGTTCCTCGCCCCTGCTTTAAGGCTACAATCCTAAACTCACTTTCCTACAAGAAATCCCCATTGAGCTCAATGGGACTGCTTTCTGAGTGGGTATGAGTAAGATTCTGCTTGCATTTCAGCTGGAAAACAAGAATGGTCCTGAAACACTGGTACGCATAGACCAAGATCAGTGCTGTCTTTAGTGCTCACAGGAAGAACAGTCCCGTGTAATTAATTTCCCATACAAAAGCAGAGTTCAAGCCTACCAAAAAAGAACTGTATGGAGCTGCCCCAGAGACACTACTAGGAGGTGGCGGCACAGCATTGGAAGAGGCAGGAAAGAGGCCAACAGCAGCTAGGTTGAGGCCAGGTATGAGGTGTGACTGTAGCTGAAAGAGAGAGAGAAAAAGAGACGCTAAGACGGTAGGGATGAAGGGTTTACTTTACATTTTTACTGTGACTTTGCTTCAACATTGCAACCCTTGTTTTAGTGCAGTGGCAGCCTTGCTTTCCACCAATTCACCATCCTCCAACCTAGTGCCCTCCAGATGTGTCGCATATAACTCCCAGCTTGGGAATTGTAATCCAGCACATCTGGAGGACATCAGGTTAGGAACAGAATAATTCACTCATTATACTCTATGCTGCTTCAGAAAACCAAGGACATAAGCAGAGGCTCTGTGCACACAACTTTAGAAGACAGAGTGCCCACCTGCAGCTTTGAGTACAGGCATTCAAGCTCACACAATAGCCAGTGCATGTTGCTTCCTCTGATGTAACCAGGTTTTGGCACACCAACCTGTTGCTCCTGGTAAGCAAAAGGAACTCCATAGCAGTGAGGCACATGCTAAAGCCAAATAATGTGGCAATCAGGCCTACCCTGAAGGTTTGTAAACTTTCTCCCACGCACACAGCTTGTTCCACAGTCTGCTGTGACATCCAAGCCAGCCAATGATGGTTAATGCACAGCTTTAAGCTATATTTAGCAAACTGTGGTTAGCAGACAAGGCAGTAAGCATAAGTGGGCATTCAGATGTCACTGCAGACTACAGTTAGGAAGTGGAGGAGGGAACCCAGATAAAAAGAGAGAACAGGGAGTTCACAAACCCACAGGGGTGTTTCCAGTTGACAAACTGTCAAATTGTTGAATATTTCTTGGCTTCAGTTCTGCATCTAATGCCCTAACTTCCAGGAGCATTCTTAAGCTTACTGCAATATTCTTAATGTTCAAAAGGCTTTATGTGAATAGTAATATCAGTACTGCAGCTGCAACTGGGGTTTCTGCAGTACTACTCTTAATAACAATAGCCAGGTACAGCAGTTTATAACCAAACTTTTCCATTTTAGGTATGTGCTTCCTATCAACAGATGCATATATATATATATCTATTCCTTCCTAAAAGCTCTTCTCCACTCCAGAACTTCCACAGCCTTCCTTCTAGACAATTAACAGAGCACAGCCCTGCAATTCAGTCTGAAGATGTTTCTCATCCATTCCACCTGCTCATCAGTAGCTACATTATTTGTTGTTAAACAACAAATCTACCAGTGTTTCTTAAAAGATATATATATGCTAACTATATTGAATGGCTTTTGAAATATGCCTTCCCCAGCTTAGTGGCCTCCAGATGTTTTAGACAGAAACTCCCAGAATATCTGGGCATACCACGTTGGCTGGGGCTGATGGGAATTGAAAGCACCTACAGGGCACCAGGTGGTGGAAGGCTGGCTTTTTAGCAGATTTTGATGCGCCCCTTCCTGTATATGAGATATCATCTGAACCATAAATAATTTTAATTGTTAATATTATTGGATCTTATCTGGCCAGGGTGACTTATTTTATATTGTTATTTTTTGCATTTTAACTTAATGTTTGTACTTTACAAACATTTTAATTTAATGTTATAATTTAATGTTGTATTTTTTAACTTAATGTTGTACGCCACCCCGAGGCTTCGGCGAATGGGGCAGCATAAAAATGTTTTAATAAATAAATAAAATAAATAAAGAGAAAAGAAGACGTAACACAATCACACTCACGCTCATAGCCGCCACATCGTTCTCATAAGCCTCCCGTACTTTCTTCATGATCTCTTGCTCTGCTCTACAGCAGTTTTCAATGGAACCTTTCACAGTGATGGTCCGTTCAGGGTTGTACAACGTCAAGTCTTGCAGGCTGTGGAAGGGGTGGGATGACACACAAATACATTGTGGAGCAGAACACCGTAAGAAACTCCTCCGCTAGCAGCTTGATGCTCCCCCAACCCCATTTCTGATCATCCATGATCAAAGTGATCCCAGGATGCCTCTGCAGATCGTGCTTCTTGCACATGGTCATTTTGCACAAGGCCCTGCACTGTCACACACCACAGCATCACATCACAGACGCGGGCAGAGAAGGCACGGAGTTCTGTGCACCACCTGAACCCTGATGCAGGGGAACAGAGGGGTGGGAGAGAATGTCCCAGAATTTGCTTGTCCCCAGCAGGGAAGCCTCTGGAATCCCCTACACAACTTTGTACTGGTCTTTTTCTGGACATAGCCACTGCTAAGCAATCCAGAGCAGGGAGACACATTTAGAAATTTCTCTTCTAACTTCTCTAGCTTCTAGACTGCCGATCAAGAACCCAACAAGTGCCATCTCTGAATGGATTCTCAGAAATGGCCCCCTGCAGCAGAGGCCTCTGTGGCAGATTCCCACTTGCTGCTGGTATACCCAAGGGAGGCACAAGCCATCAAGCTGCCTGCATGCTTTGCTTTCTTTTGGAAACGTCCCAGGGTAGCCATCTTCATTTATTGTCGCAAGAACAAGATTCTGATAGCATTTTAAGACTAGCAAATTTACTCCAGCATCAGCTCTCCTGAGCTACAGCTCCAGTCCAGGAAAAAGTAAGCCAAACTAAGCATATTAACCAGCCCCTTCACAGTTGCTTTTAGGAGAAACTGAAATGGGAGAGGGGAGGAGAAGAAACTAAATGCCTTACGAGGAGATGGTGATCTTTGTCTCTGTGTCTTGCTCCACCTTCTTCAGGTTGCGGCCCTCTTTGCCGATCAGTCGTCCTACAAAGTTGTTATGCGCCAGGATTTTCAGGGGAACTTCATCAGCACTGAGAGGGTGGGAAGTGAATTAGAAGCGGCTTATGCATCCCCTTATAATATTAAAAAGTTGCCTCTCAGCCCACGAGTGCCCAAGCTGACTGACAGCCAGGCCTTGCAACAGCCTGCCCTGCTCCTGGGGCTGCTGCAGGCCACCCCTTCGACCTCCGTTTGCTTCCAGGGAAAACAAGCCCCAGACAAGCAGCCCGCTGTAGCTACTGACTGGGGAAGCTCAAAATCTGTCCTGTGGACTGTTGCCACAGGTTACAACAAGGAGTCTCCCCTCAGCTACCAGCTTTACCACACACACCCTGGCAGCTAATTTTGTAGATAAGCCATTTAAAAGTGGCCAATAATACTACCATGACTTGGGATGCAGTTCTGTATACACTTACCTAAGAACAGGCCCATTTAACTCAGTGGGATGTACTTCAAAGTTAACATAAATAGGAGTGTACTGTTAGGAAATCTGAACTGAAACTGGGCTGTAAATCAGGAACTTTCCAGTGGAATCTCACTTTTGCCATTAACTAACTTGGTGGCCTTAACCAAGTCACTCTCTTTTAGCCTCATCTTCTATGTGGGAGAGAACATTAGTGGCTGTTGCAAGGCAGAGTTGGGCCAGTTGTGGGCCTCCAAATGTTTTGGCCTACAACTCCCATGATTCCTCACCACTGGCTACATTGTAAGGACTGATGGGACTATTAGGCCAAAATATCTGGAGGACCATAAGTTGCCTATCCCAAATGGTAAGGAATACAACTAGAATGTGATCCACTTTGAATTCTGGAAAGTGCCATACAAATGTCATTTATTTATTTATTTGTAACATTTATATACCATCTTATATACCAATGAAACCTCAAGATGGTTTACCAAAAACAAAACAAAACAAACACACCCTCCACTGGTAGTGATAAGCATTCTTAATCTGCAGAAATTTATCTTGAACTCAATTAAGCTCTTTAGGAAAAATGGAAAACAGAATGAATGCAGAGGCTTATGTCTCAGCCAAGACGCCTCTGCACTCTAAAAGGCCATGAAGCACGAACTAGCTTGAGAAAAAAAAAATGGCCGCAGCAAAGATTAGTGGCACAGCACAAATAGTAATATACTTGCAGAACCCTGGCATTTGCAGCAGCAAGGATTCTATCTGGCACTGCTAAAGGGGAATGAGCCATTGGCCAATCAGAGCAGACAGTACTGCATTAGTTAAACCAATAGCCTGACACATGCTGGCTGGGAGTTATGGGGGTTGTAGTCCAAGCCATCCGGAGGGCAGCAGGTTGGGGAAGGCTGCTCTAGAGGTCATTGGGGCCTTACCCTGTGGTAATCCTGCTAATATAAAACAAAGTCCAGCCAACATTTTGCGCCAGCAATCGCCCAGCCTTACGTCTTAGTGTCCTTTGCCTCCTTCTGCATGATTTCCAAGATCATCTTGCAGGCAGCAGAGCAGCCCTCTGGGGTTGAATGAATGCTTATTGCTTTTTCAGCTGCCCCGGCATTTTCTTTCCGGTGCACATCAATTCTTTAAAGGACGGAAAAGGCAAAAGAGGAACAAATCAAAGGATGAAAACTTAAATACAAGAATCATAATATAGGCTCAAAGAGACTAGCAGCCCTAGTTCCTGCCTCTACCAATCAACACACACTTCCCTACTTTGCACTTCTGCCCCCATCTTGTCTTCTTTCTGGAGATTTGGAAATTCTCTGCACCACCTCTTGGCTCTCCATGCCAGACGTTGGCTGGGCTCATACAACACAGCAGACAACCATCTACAAAAAATGCAGATTTTTTGCCCAAACCGACTGCTCAGATGACCATGAAGTTACTTGAGTAGCCCAGTTTCTGCGCTTCCTGCTCCATCCTCCTAGCCTCTCCATGCATCCCAGCTGTTCCTAAGGAGAAAAATTCCTATCCTTTACCTCTTTTTTCCTAAGAAATGCAGCAGCCTGCGATTCTGAGGAAATTTCCCTCCTTCCTCCTCCTGAATGTACCTGCATGTCTGCACCAGTTTCCTGTCCCTACAGATTTATATATCTTTTATAGACCATCCCATTACTGGAGTCTTGGGACAGTTTACAACAAGCACAAATAAAATAAAAACGGCACCGCATCCAATATTAAATGAAAACAGTTTCACTGTGAGCCTCCACTTTCTCTTCTCATGTACGTATCCTTCCGTTTCTCCCTCCATGCATTTCCAAAAGTACACTGGGAGATGGACACACTACTTGGCCAATGAGAATAAAGCAAACAATAATGCATCTACTGCTGGCTGAAGGCAGTAGAGATCCAAGGCTGGAAGTGGCTGATTCCATGGCTGTTCTTGCTAGGGGACTCTATGGTGTTTCCATATCCACAATGGTGAAATGGCATTCATGGGACTGGAGGACCAGAGAAGCTGTGATGAAGCATAAAAACCTTACAGCAGAGCACTGATTCTCTCCCTGGTTTCAGAAAACCAATCCTACCATGCAAGAACTCCAGAACTGGGTTCAGATGACAGCTGACCCACCATGGTAAGTTTTCCCCGTGGCTTCTTGTGTTGTGCAAACCTGCCCATTATATGACTATCCATATCCTCAACAGGAGCCATTTTGTGACTGTGCACACAGCAGTTTCTCAAATTCCCAAATGTGTTCACAGATCTAAATACATACCTTCCTTGAAGGAAGGGCAGGATAAATGAAACAATAAATAACTGTTCAGTTAATTGTGCCCCCATGAATCATATCCTCTTGGTGTAACTCTGAGTGAGCTGATTTTGTATACATGGGGTGGGTTCTTCCTCCCCATCCCTGCTTTGGCCTGGCTGTTTCCTTATGGTTTTAATTAGTGTTTTTGCATTTTACTGCCTTTGTTGTAGCTTCTCTTACTATCTTTATAGTTCTGCTCTACTTGAGTAACCACTTTTTGGGGTGCAGAGAGTGTACCATATACATTCATAATTAAATAAATCCTTCATTCTGCCATCTATTACAGTACCCATTAATTAGTAGCATGAATGGCTCCTCTGAACCCAGGCAGGGAAATGCTTCCATTTTTTGAAGCCTGCTTCCCTTTTCTTTAACCTCTGACTTTCCAGTCTTAACGTATAAACCAAGGATGCAGAATGTTTTTCGGCTCAAGGGCCACATTCCATTTTGGGGATGCGCTCAGGGGTCCCATCCCAGGGGTGGGGGCAGGCCAAAAGCAAAAAGGACAAGCATAGCAACGTATTTTAATTTAAAATTCTTTCTGCCAGTACCTAAACATTAAGAGACTAAGTTCCACCTTTCAAAATGGAAAGAAAAGCACTGCACCAATGCTGGGAAGCCACCCAAAGTTCAGCTGTTGGGAGAAATGGGTGGAGTCAAGGGAAGGGGGTGTGGCCACCTGGGGAACTCAGCTGAGCCAGACTGGAACTTCTGGGCTGTGCAAACTGATAGGATGGTATAGAAGCAAAGGAGAGTTGTAAAGAAAGTGCTTGCTTATGCAAGCAGCGCTTACTTGGATTGCGTCTGCTTGGTTATGTTGCGGATGGTGGCACCTTCTTTACCGATAATGGCTCCCACGTACTGGGTGGGAACAAGAAGCCGGAGGGGAATGTCTACTGGCTGTTGCTTCACAGGTGCGCCTGAGGCCACGGGAGAGCCTTGCCTCGGGGCACCCCGTGTGCCAAAGCCACCTCGACGCCCATTCTCCGCACCCTGCACAGTTTGTTCGTCGGGAATATAGGAGACCTTCAGTGCATGGTTTTCCAGTTGGTGGCCGTTAAGTTTCATGATGGCTCTAAAGATGAAGAAGGAAGGAAGGAAGGAAGGAAGGAAGGAAGGAAGGAAGGAAGGAAGGAAGGGGGGGGCACATCAGTCACTTCTCATGAATCATCTTGGCTGCCTACTTTTAAAAGAAGAGTTTTTGTAGTTGCTGATGTTAAACCATCGGGAGTCAGTATTTATTTATTTATGAAATTTGTATGCCGTCCAATTACCAGTGTCTCTCGACCTTTGGTGACCCATTGTGAATCAGCTAGAAATCTGCCAGGGGATCCTGACCTACCTTCTGCACACCTCTAGTGATTGATACGGTGTTTGGAGGGCCAAGAATGTATCAAATGGATATATTTAAGAGTAAGGGAAAAATGGGGATGTCTTTGTGCCCAATCCTATGACCCCTGGGCAGTGTTTGAGGTGCCGACAGGATACTAGGGACCTTCCCCTCCAAGACGGTGGCAAAAGCAGTGACTCTGGACAGAGAAATCCAGGCAGAGATTTCACCTCCACCCCACCCTATTCCTAGCCACTACGAAACTCTCCACAGTATCTCCCTTTTCCCAGGCCAAAGCTCTGACCTTGAGGAGGAGGGACAGGGCCACGCCTGCGGGAGCAAATCCAACCCTGCCTACAGCGCCATGGCTCAGCCGATCAGTTCAGAGACCTCCCTAGCAAAAGTACTGCACAGGACAACGGATGGAGAGGCTAAAGCATTTCTGCTTGCCTGCAGGTGGGTGAGAGGCTTCTGTTATTCAGCCATCAGTCCCATAGCAAGGACTACACCCTTCATAACCATTGGATATAAAGCACCGTAGTGCTTTCCTGTAGGGGCACTCCAGGATTACCGTGGTAATCCTGTCTCACCATCATCTCCATTTCAACACAAATTGAGTCCTCCCACTACTGTGCGCTGTGTCCTGGCCCATCCTCCGCCCCCCACCCTGCCTGATCACTATGCAGCAGTGACAGTACAAATCAGAACTGCCGGGGCAGATAAAAATGATTTGAAAAAATAAACATTAGATGGCTTAAATTTAAAACAAATTTGTACCACTTAAATCATGAGGCTCTTTTTTTTAAAATCGTAGACACTAAATTTTACTCTCCTTTAAAAATACAACACAATTACAATTAAACCTCATCATAAAAATTCTAAGCCTATACATATAAATGCAATCATATGCATCAGTGGAGCTTATTCCCCACGTAAATGGATTGCTGACTTATGGTCTCAGAAATAATGAATTAATGGTGCTGCCATACTGGCACACTTTGAGTTACTGACCAGTCAAATATGGGCGTCCATTTCAGTTCTCATGAAAATGTCTCTGTCCTGCCTAATGACCAGCTCTTGCTGCTTTAGTGTTCCGGCTTTTCAGTTTCTGTTTCCCTAGCTAAAGTCACATGTGCAAAGACAAAGGCTGGATATAATAGTTTTCATGTAGCAATTAGGTGGTGGTGAAACTGGGCCTAACAAGGCAAAGGAGTTAGTTGACAATGAAAGACCATATAGGAGGGGTGATAAAGATCAATGATTAAAAACAAAACAAAACAAAATGGAAAAACTGGGGCTCTTAATTGTTTTAACTGGCTTTCTTAATGTAAATTCAAATTTTTCTTTAGCTCATAACTAGATTAACATTCATTTATCTAAATAAAAGAATGTAGGCAGCCAATCTCAAAACAGATTCAGCATTGCTATCAGACGCACTGGCCTGGTTCACATGGAACAACACACAATATGGGTTGTTACTGCATCATACAAAGTTGTAATGTGCTAACCCTGCACTATGGTTTAACTAAGGGTTGTTAACCTCAAACACATCAGGAAGAGAATCTATGGTTTGTTGTTGGGTCATGAAGTATGTTTAGGTTGCTTATGGTTAACAACCTGCAGTTAAAATCCATCGTGCAGGGCATCAGGATGCAGAACACAGCATTTATCTTTTAAAAATCTTTTGAAAAATTGCCCATTCCTGGAAGAACGTAAAGTTTAAATGTGACAGACAAAGAAGACCTGGCACTTCAATCCAGGCTCTGGATGCTTCCAGGTAATAAGGCTTTTACACTGCCAGTGGCTTCCTTTTACAACCCTCTCACATCTTCCTTTCTTTTTCTTCCCAGGAAAGTCCATTAAGAAGAACAAGATAGAAAAAGTGTCTTTTGACTTGTAGTGCTAGGACCCCTCTGTCTGGAAGCAGTTATGGAAAGCAAGACTGGAGTATAATTTTGCTAGTGAACTGCAGTTTGACAAAATTACCTATAGATGGCGCTGTTTGCATTAACAAGACCGCCTCCATGGGACAGCCTAACATTTATCCAGCATCCCCATTCATGGCTGTGCTACCATTAACTCCAGTATCTGAATTCCAGTTTTGAAATTGCTGCAACCTTTGTTATTTCTCTACAGTGTATCATGAGAGGTGGGGAAGCAGGGAGAGAAAATGAAAATGATTTCAGATAAGATTCCTTCCTACTGATTTTGAATAGCTAAATCTATTTGTGAGCCGCCCCGAGGCTTCGGCGAATAGGGCGGCATAGAAATTTTCTAAATAAATAAATCTAGGCATGATCTGAGGCAGGAATCATCAGAAATTACTCCTGCAACTAGGCCTGCCACCGGATGAAAGGGCTGGAGGGGGGCGGGTAACAGAATGAGCAAGGTGTAAATTAATGCATGTACATACATGCCTTGTATATGACTGCATTATTTTAATGGGCTGTGGTGGTTAGAACGTTGGATTGGCAACCCAGGAGATCCGGGTTCCAGCCTCCCACTCAGCCATAAATCTCACTGGACTACGTAAACTGCCCTGACTACCTCACAGGGAGGAAAAGGCTTCCATACAGCCTGCAGTGCCTGATCCTGCCTAAACTTGGCAGCTAAGCAGCCTGGTTGAAATCTGGATGGGAGACTTAAATGTTGAGCACTGCCCAGAGAGCTTTGGCTATGGGTGGCACAGAAATGTAATAACAACAGGGTGGGATATAAATGCAACGTGGTGGTGGGGATAGGCAAGGTATAAATGAAAGAAGCAAATAAATAATATAACATGTGTGAATGTGTCTTGGCAAGCAAGAACAGCTAATGCAAGTACGTTTGTACCAACTGTGGAATTTGGTGCTCTATGCAGGATTTTGAATACATTAGAAGCCACACTGGATACAAGGGCAAGGCAATAGAACACTTTGAACTTACTGTCTGGTCTGTTCCCGGTTGGAGTAGGTGACATTGACAACTGCTGTCTCACTGTCTGTATTCACTAGTATAAGGAAGAAGAGCCCTGTGTTAGCTAAAAAAGGCATCACGAAAACAGCTCAATATGTCACAGCTCAGCCACAGCATAAGGGAGAAAGCAGGAGCTGGTCCACACAGCCCATGGTGAGGGGTGGAGTGTTGCAGGCCAAATCCTCCAGAGGGCCACAGGCTGCCCACCCTGACGTAAGAGGATAAATGGAGTCATCCTCTCGGGTTCCAGTGGGGCTGGACTCACTCTTCCATGGGAAAGCAAGTTCTGGGTGGAGAAGACCCTGCCACACCTGCAGCTCAGCCTTCTCTTCAATGACCTGTCTCCCTCTGTGGGGGGTAGGAATAAGGGATCAGGAAAGTGGCAGCATTTCTGCTGCAGTCTTGCGTAGGGATACTTGAGGAATGCGATCTCTGCACATTCCAGCACAGTCTCTCAGACTAATCTGGAGATTGTAATTCATTAGAAGATAAGGCTATCGGTGGCTACTGATCCGGATGACCATACGTTACCTCCAGCGTCAGAGGCAGTGTTCCTACGGACACCCGTCCCTGGAAAGCACGGGTGGGAAGGTGTCCTTGCACTCATGTCCCGTTTGGAGGAACCCTTGGACAACTGATTGGTCACTGCGTGAACAGGATGCTGAACTAGAGGAATGCTTGGTAGCTTGTTTTATGTCTGTAACTTAAAAATTATCAAGTGCGTGTGTGTGTTGAGAGAACATGTGTTTTTAAACGCATCTGTTTTTTGCAGATTACCACAAAACCAGAACAGAATTCACTTACAAGTGAATATACTGTATGTGAAACGGAGAAGCAATAGAGCAAGAGCATAAGCCTGCGGATTTCTACCTAGAAGCAAGGCTCACTGAATTCGGTGAGACTTACTCCCAAGTAAATGTGTAGCAGATCACAGCTTAACAAATATATCTTTAGTGCTGTATTATGAATGTCACTTTTCACTCCAAGGTGAAATACGTTCTATGAAATTTCTCACAGAATCTTACCTTGTTCACAGTTTTCCACAGTACCGTATTGAGCTAGCAAACCATCCAAAACCTATTTGGATGTGAAAGAAACAAGAGAGCTTAAGTTATCCTAAATATTTCAGCAAGTTAAAGTTATACAAGGAGGCAACATAGCTGAAGAGCAATGCCTCTCCCTAAAATCTGAAGAGCAAAGAATGGGGTCTGAAACTGTGATTCGGTTATCTGAAACTTTAATTATACCATGTAATATGCACGTCTGCATCCATCATCCCATGGGGGCAAACCCCACCTCCCCCCATGCTCCCTTGTCCCAGTGGCAGCAGCTGACAGAAGGCAGGTGGGCAGCCTGCAGCTCACAGTGACCCATGGCTCCTGGCATGTCCGGAAGACCCTGACCCTTGGAAGCTCCTCGAAGAGTGCAGATTTCCATGTCCAAAAGATGTGTTCAGCATATACACTTGCATTTCATAGAATCATAATCCATTGTGATGGTCTTTGATTAAATACAGTGGAAGCTGCAGCTTTCATGCATGAGAAAGAGGAGAAAGGAGCACTGAATGTGTGTGTGAATAGCCAGGATGTGTGTGTGTTGGGGTGGATATGGATGAATGGGGTGTGCAGTATTTGTGCAAGGATGGGAGAAAAAGGAGTGTGAGGTGGTGATGATTTTAAGATTATCATCAATCCACATTGCTTTCCTTCTCTCTCTCGGCCTCTAAAGTTTCTTAACAGAGGAAAGGTGCATAGATGGTGGTGCTTGAGAGAAAGAGACTGGAAGGATTGAGTTTGTGTTGAATGTGGGTTGCCATTGACCCTTCAGTTGTTTTTGAAACTTGAGTTATTGTACTGTCTGAACCCAGCTGTGCTAACAAAACATGGCTTGTTAACCACAAACAACCCATGAAGAGAAGCCATGGTTTGTTGATGGGGTGCTCACTACGGTTTGTTATCTTAGCTGGATTCAGGCAACACAATAACATGCATTTCAATATTCAACTCACACCCACATTCAACTCACACCCAGCCTTTGGGTGTGGGTTGTCACATTGCCTGAACTCAGCTGCGATGCAGTGACATTTGCCACACTGGCACGTGGCTCCGAAAAGAAAGACTCCGAGGGACTCCTCCCTCAATGGCTGCACCTGTGGTACAACAGTAATGGCGCAAGCTGCTGCAGCCTTCAACAGCAAAACGTCCTACGGCTTCAGCCAGTACATGATATAATGGGTTGGATCCAGAATGTCTGATCTTCCCTCTCCTTGCTCAGTCCCACCAGATCCTTCAGCAAAGTAAAAGAAACGGGAATGTGGAATCTTGTATATTCTGCCTCACCCACATGTACGAAAGATCATGGAATTCACTTATTCTGATTTACTGCTTCCAGTTCTGTAATATTTCAAACTCAGAGGAAGGACCATGCACTCTCAGTGAGTGACTTGACTTACCTCCCATCGTAGCTGAGGGGGGATGTTTCTTATCTGAATTTTGCGGCTCCTAAATTAAACAAAAAGGAAGAAAGGCATTCCTTTTAGACTCAAGGCTCACTCTGCATTGACAGGGAATCATGCATAAAAGAACCTCCATGTACTCTAACACTTTGGAGAGTGAAGAGGAGGCGAGCCGGTAGGAGGGTGCAAATGGTAAGGAGAACGTGGCTGGCTGCAGTCAAGGAAAGAGAAAAACAGGTTCAGACTTTAGTTTACAGAGGGAAAATTGTATGCTACTTGAGTAAGAGCACATGCTTGACAATTCGAGGACATTTTCAGCAGACATGAGCTCATGGTTGTCGGGACTGCAATCAGTGCAGGTTCACCTGTTTTGCATACAAAGGCAAGATTCTCATACATCCCTAAGTAGGGCTAAGATCAGCTACAACTACGGACGTGAAGATCAGATGGAAAGCTGGCTCTCTTGCACTTGCCAGATCTCTTTCTCATGCTCGGCCCTTGGCCAGGAAGCAGGCTGAGCTGAGATCACGTCTGCAAACACTTGGGAACTACACAGATTCTTTTTGTAATGTATGCAGAGTACATAATTCTTTGCGCAAGATATGAAAAGTATGTGCTTCTTTGCACAAAACATAGAGAAGCTGCATAATTCTTTGTACAAAGTATGAGCCCGCAAGCCATGTGTGTGGAAGCAGAACGCTGCTTGAACTTGATTCCTGCTGCGTCAGAATGCTGCACGGGTGCCGGCCTGAGGGCGCTGGGCCGTTCGGGGCTGGGCTGGGCCAGGGACTCTGCTCTTTTATCTGTGGGGGCTTTGGGGATTTTAAGTTAAGGTATTTTAATTTTATTGTTTACCACGACTGAGCTGCACTTTATTGCTAGGTTTTAATGTTATGGGTGTGCCTGGAGAGCGTGAGGGCACCACCATTGGGGTGGTAATAGGCAGGGAAGATATGGTGGTGGGGGTCTAACAAGTCAGCTAAGGAGGAGGAGGGAGAGATGTCTTGTATCTGTCCCCCCTTCTGGTTATTTTATTTATTTATTTATTTAAAAAAATTTCTAGGCCGCCCCATTCGCCAAAGCCTCGGGGCGGCTTATTCCTCCAATCGGAGGGTTCCGGATAGTTTTATCAACTGCCTTTCAGGCCTGACGGTGCTGTTGATGAACACCAGGTCGGTCGATAATAAAACATCTCTCATGGATGAGCAGGCCGGCCTGGCGTGCATTACAGAGACCTGGGTGGGAGAAGGGGGGGGGGATGTCTCCCTTATTCAACTGTGCCAACCGAGTACCTGATCCAGCATCAGCCATGCCCTGGGGGGAGGAGTCGCCCTGGTTCATCGAGCCTCCCTTTCCTTCATGGGGCTTCCGGTCCCCTCAAAACCAGGTCTAGAGTGTTTATACCTGGCGGTGGGCAATCGAGACAGATTAGGGATTCTGCTGATGTACCGCGCACCCTTCTGCCCATCAGACCCCCTACATGAGCTGATGGAGATCGTCTCGGACCTGGTGTTAAGGACCCCCCCCCCAGGATGTTGGTCCTGAGGGACTTCAATTTCCATGCCGAGACTGTTCTGACTGGGGTGGCTCAGGACTTCATGGCTTCCATGACTGCCATGGGGCTGTCCTCAACATGTCACCGGCCCAACCCATGAAAGAGGTCACACTCTAGACCTGGTTTTCTCAATAGGGCAGGAAGATAGTGATCTGGAAGTTAGGAACTCGTGTTTAACTCCTTTGTCATGGTCAGATCATCTGAGCTCAGGGCTGACCTTCCCCTCTGTAAGGGTGTGGACCCTATTAAGATGGTCTGCCCCCGGAGCCATATGCATCCTGATGGATTCCTGAAGGCTCTGGGAGATTTTCTGGCTGACAAAGCTGGCGCTCCTGTCAATGCTCTGGTTGATTTGTGGAATGGGGAAATGACCAGGGCAATCGACATGATAGCTCCTAAGCGTCCTCTCCCGTTAGGCAGAGCCCGCTCATCACCATGGTATACACCTGGGTTACGGGCAAGGTATTGGAGCGGGTGGTGGTGGGACAACTCCAGGCACTCTTGGATGAAACTGATTATCTGGACCTATTTTAGTCTGGTTTCAGATCCAGTTACGGTACTGAATCTGCCCTGGTTGCCCTGTATGATGACCTGTGCAGGGAGGGGGACAGGGGGAGTGTGTCCCTGTTGGTTCTCCTGGACCTCTCAGCAGCTTTTGATACCATCAGCCATTATATCCTTCTGGATAGGCTGGCCTCTTTGGCAGTGGTTCTGCTCCTATTTGGCTGGCCGATTCCAGAAGGAGATGCTGGGGGACTATGGCTCTGTGCCATGGCAACTCTGCCATGGAATACCACAGGGTTCCATTTTGTCCCCCTTGCTATTTAACATCTACATGAAACCACTGGGAGAGGTCATCAGGAGGTTTCGGCTGAGGAGTCACCAGTATGCTGATGACACCCAGCTCTACCTCTCTTTTACAACTAATCCAGGTGAGGCAGTGGCTGTCCTGAACTGAAACTCAATGTAGATTTATTTTATTTATTATTTATTTAGAAAATTTCTAAACCTCCATCAGATAAGACGGAGGTCCTTTTGGTAGGTGGTTCAGGTTTTCGGGAAAGTGATTTTGGCCTTGTCTTGGATGGGGTTGCACTCCCTCTAAAGGACAGGGTCCGCAGCTTGGGAGTGCTCCTCGACCTGGAGCTGTTCCTGGAGGCCCAGGTGGCAGTGGTGGCAAGGAGCACTTTCCTTCAGCTTGGGCTGATCTATCAGCTACGTCCGTACCTTAACGAGCACTGCCTAACAACGGTGACAGACACTCTGGTAACTTCCTGGTTGGATTATTGTAATGTGCTCTACGTGGGGCTGCCCTTAAAGATGGTCAGGATAGTTCAATTGGTTCAGAACAGAGCCACCAGATCGCTATCAGGGGCTGGTCATTAATCTCATATAACACCAGTCCTCTATCAGCTTCACTGGCTTCCAGTTGAAGCTCAGGCCCAATTTAAGGTGCTGGTATTGACCTATAAAGCCCTAAATGGCTTGGGGCCAGGATACCTAAAAGAACATCTTTTTCCCTACATACCCACCTGCCCCTTAAGATCTGCAGCAGAGGCCCTGCTCCAGGAACCCTCCTTGAAGGAGGTTAGGAGAGAATATACTTGGAGGAGGGTCTTCTCTGTGGTGGCGCCCCGGCTATGGAATGTGCTCCCAAAAGAGGTCTGCCTGGCGCCAACATTATATGCTTTTGAGTGCCAGGTCAAGAACTTTTTATTCTTTTGTACTTTTAATGTTTAATACTTTATCTATCTTTTATGCTCAGTTGTGGATTATTTTGTATTATCTGGGTATATATGTATTTATTGGATTTTGACTTGTAAGCCGTTCAGAGACCCGCAACGTATTGGACAGGGTAAAAATACCCAAATAAACAAACAAAGAAACTGCCCACACAAATGCTCAACATGAGAAATACTTAGGAAGAGAGAGAGCAGACCAGAGTCCGGCGGGTCAAGCTGAGGAGATCTGGCAGGTTCCCATCCCTGGATTCCTTACACAGCCTAGTGCCGTCCTCCTCACAGTCCGCTTTGCCCCTTGCAAAATGGGATGGAAGAAGCAGGCAGAACTGTAGAAGTCTCCTCTGAATTGGAAAAAAGTAAATCCTGTCCCAATTTAGGATTGACAGGATTAAATCCTGTCTCCGTTTAGGATCCAAGAACTGTTTATATTGGTATAAAACAGGCAGTAAAATCCAAGGTCCCCTGAGGTACTATTGAGTTTCCAACGGTGCCACGGGTGCAGGATGGGGATTTTAGTTCCAATCGTGCTGGGAAGAAAAGAAACAAGCCTCTCTTCCCTGCCTAGTAAGAATTACTCACCCTCACTCTGGGAGCTGTAATTAATAAAACTAAAAAGGAACACATAGTGACATTCGTGGCAGAGAGGACGGCTCTTCGGAGGATGAGCTGCAGTTGCCTGGGCAGAGCAGCTTGGAGGAGCTTCCACTGCTGAGGGAACATGAAGTGCATTAGTGGAACCCTGGACCCTTGGGGAGGCGACTTCCACACCTTCCCCTCAAGAGCCACTCAAGTCGCGGCTCAGACTCAACGGCGGTGGCTGAGTGCCCACCTGGCCCCACAGGGTCAAGGCATCTTGCCACCAGATGCAGAAGTGCATGCCTGAGGAGCAAGGGATCCTTCTGAATGAAGGTGTACGTGTGAACAAGGCCCTTCTCTTGGGTACACTATACCTCCGGGCTGCCCTGATGGTCTGCTGCTATGCTCCACGTGGAGCTCTGGAAGTTCAGGCTTTAAAAACTGCCCCAGTCTAGGGACAATAACTGTCTCCCAAATCCTGCCTGATCCTGTTAATCTTTTTCTTCTTAGGACCTCCTTGTGTCTGGACCCTGGACTACCTGTTGACCTGGCCTGTGGAACTGACTCTGGCTAAATCCCCCGAGATCTGTCCTCACATCACTGTAAGCAAGGCTGTGTTGTATGGACCTTGCAGTTTGGTCCTTAATGTCTAGATATTCCACATTTACATAGCATCCTAAACTTCTGCAACAAATCTATTCAGAGAGCCCACCCCCAGTGACTTATAAATTCAATTAGATTTAAGAAATCTCTGGAAACTTGTTGCACAGATAAAAATATAACTATCCAATCGGTTAGACTACAGTGTAACATGGCTTGAGCAGGCATGTCCAATACACTGCAAAATCACATTTCTATAGGGTTATCATTGCCCACCACTGGCAAACAAGGTGCTTGGAGAGATCCACACAGCATTAGGCTTTCTGGATCTTTCTCAGTTCTAACCTGCTACAGAACTGATGTAACTTGCTATGCATTCAGATTTACACCAAATCAACTGGGGTAACAGAAATGTACTTCTCACGGCAGTCCCACTTCCTGAAAATGCTATGTGGAAAGTCTGACGATCCTGTTCAATGGGAGTGAGCTGTGGTTTGTGGGGGAATCTTTTTAAATTGGACAGACAGGACCTTCCAGGAGCAGAGGGAAGATCCTAGATCTAGGCATGCGCGA